AGGAAGGAAGGAAGGAAGGAAGGAAGGAAGGAAGGAAGGAAGGAAAGAAGGAGGGAGGGGAGGAAGAGGTCCTTAGTGCTCTGAGCTGGGTTTTTTTCTTGCAAACATTTCATTACCCAACTAGGAAACATCATCAGTGCTAGAAGGGAGCGGGGTTGGTGGAAAGGAGGAGGAGGAGGAGGAGGAGGAGGAGGAGGAGGAGGAGAACTTTGCGGTCCTTGAAGCTCTCTGAGCTTGGATGCAAACCGTTCTACAGTATCGAATAATTGTTCTCACTATCAGGACATTTTTTTCATTACTTCTAGATTGGATTGCTCCTTAACAAGCTTCCACCCATTACTTCTTGGCCTGCCTTCAGGTGCTTTGGAGAACAAATCAACCCCCTCTTCCCTGTGATAGTCCCACAAGGAGTGGAAAATGCTATTATGTCACCCCAGCTCTTTTTTTTTTTTTTTACTAGATTAGACATACCCAATTCCTGCAACCGTTCTTCGTACGTTTTCGCCTCCAGTCCCCTAATCTACTTAATTGTTCTTCTCTGCACTTTTTCCAGAGTCTCAAGATCTTTTTCTGTATTGTGGTGACCAGAACTGGACACACTATTCCAAGTGCGGCCTCACTAGTGTGGTATTGCGATAGGCTGCCTCTGAACAAGGAGGTTCCACTTGGGTAGCCTGACGCTGCCTTGTGCATCATGACTCACAAATGAGTCCCCCCACCCCTTCCCACAATTAAACCAACACTGCAAGGCTGGCTGCTTCTCCCGCTCATCACCTGCTCCCAGGGCTTCGGTGGTGAGGTGCTTCGGCTCTTCCGTCCAGGGTGTGGCGTGGACGGCCACACTCCAGTCACTCCAGGTGCCGATCTCATTGTCCTTGGCGGCCACCTGGATGATGTATTCTTTCCCGGCATAGGCGTCGGTGATGATGTGGGAGGTCCCATCAGAGAGCTCCACCTGTGGGGGTGAGAAGGGAGGGATTATGGGAAAGGTTCTGGAGACTCAACCCATCCATCACAGCCTTGAAAGTTGGAGATTCCTTCCAAGGGAAGCCCTGCGTACTACTGTACTTCACTGGCTTTCTACAATAGGAGTCTTCAAACCTGGCCACTTTTAAGACTTCAGGACTTCAACTCCCAGAATTCCCCAGCCAGCATGTCCAGAGGTATCCAACCTTGGCAACTTTTATGACTTGTGGACTCCCAGAACTGGGCCTGTTCATTCACAGGTTCAAATGTCACAACCTACGGTGACTGGCAGGGTCCAGTGGCTGTTGGAATCGAGTGGATATCCCACAAACCTCAGCATTACACCAATTTGTGCCCTCCTTGGGCATGTTGGCACATCCTGAGGAATTCTACGGAAAATTGAAAGAGGCACTAAACGCAACATACAGGGGGAAGAGTGTGGCACCCCAAACATGTGAATGCAAACATTGAGAAGTGGAAAAACGTGACCCTGTAGGAAAATCTGGACTGGGACAAATGCAGTGATGTAGGAGATTGGCTAATAGCAATAACAGCAGCACTTAGACTTATATACCACTTCACAGTGCTTTCTAGCAGTCTTTAAGCAGTTTACAGATTCAGCATCTTGCCCCCAACAATCTAGGTCATTTTACTGACCTCGGAAGGACAGAAGTCTGAGTCAGCCTTGAGCTGGTCAGGATTGAACTGCTGGCAGTTGGCAGAGTTTGCCTGCAATACTGCATTCTAACCACTGCACCACCATGCCTATCTATCTATCTATCTATCTATCTATCTATCTATCTATCTATCTATCTATCTATCTATCTATCTATCTATCTATCATCTACCTACCTACCTACCTACCTACCTACCTATATCTATATCTACCTACCTACCTACCTACCTACCTATCTATATCTACCTATCTACCTATCTACCTATCTACCTATCTCTATCTATCTATCTATCTATCTATCTATCTATCTATCTATCTATCTATCTATCTATCTATCTATCTATCTATCTATCTATCTATCTATCTATCTATCTATCATTCTGTAATCAGAATAGAGCTGGCAGGGAACCTTGCAGATCCTCTAGTCTAATCCCCTGGTCAAGCAGGAGACCCTAGACTATTTCAGACAAGTGGCTCTTCAGTCTTCTCTTAAAAGCCTCCAGTGACGAAGCGCCCATGATTTCTGAAGGCAAGCCCTTCCACTGGTTAATTGTTCTGGCCATCAGGAAATTCCTCCTTAATTCCAGGTTGCTTCTCTCCTTGATCAGTTCCATCGTTTCTTGTCTTGCCCTTCTGGTGCTTTGGAAAGTAGGCAGACCCCCTCTTCCTCGGGGCAGCCCCTCGGAGACTGGAAGACTGCTATCATGTCACCCCTAGTCCTTCTTTTTTCTAGACTGGCCATACCCGGTTCCTGCAGCTGAAGTCCTTCCAAAGAGGACGGTCATCAGATAGAAGCATCTGTGCCGAGACAATATTAGGAATGAGGCCTGACAGCCAACAGTCCAGCTGTCAAACGGAGACGTGCCCGGCAGAGAGGAAACAAGAACTCAACGGTTGAAATCCGCCGGAGAAGAGACAGTTCAATTGCTGGCAAGGCTACATCAACAAACAAGATCCGACGCTTTCCGTTGTTGTGGTTTTTCACTCTCCACGCGTTCGTGACCCAGCGGACATTATTTTGACAGTATTGTCTGTCAGGCAGAGCTTTCTTGAGTCCTTGGAAGATCATGCTTATGTCAACAGGGATAATATTCTCTCCTTTTTCAATTGCTTTCCATTTTTATAAAGCACCAGGATCTTTTCCTCGAGTCATTTGCATTATGGGATGGTTTCTATAAGACCCAGATATGGGGTCTTTGGGGGAAGGGTCCCCCAAATATGTTATTAAAAAGCCTCGGCGTTCCTTAGCTGCAGCCCATGGATTGGATTCCCAAAAGCCGATATTCTTTTAATAACATGTGTTGGTCTAAAAAGGCGCCACCAGACTCCGGATCTACACGTCCCCACAATATCTGAGCATGGATGGTGCTTCCAGTGAGCCATCTGGTTTCAATTTATCCAGTATGGAATGATTTAATGCACCTAATATTTTGCCCTCCTCTGTCAGTGTTTCTCCCAGAGAAGACACATTTTTTATTTCCTCTGTATAGACCTCTTCCCTGTGGGTTTATGAGCCTAAGAAGATAAAGTTCTGCTTCCCACCATATAAAAAAGACGCCTCGAAAGAGTGCAAAGAAGAGCTACGAAGACGATTAGGACTCTGGAGGCTACGTTGTACGATGAACAGCTAAGCGATCTAGGTATGTTTAGGCCTCACAAAGAGTAGGCTTAGGGGAGACAGGATGGCATCTCCCAATACCTGAAGGTCACAGAGAAGAAGATGTCTATTTACTCGCCAAAGCACCTGAGGGCAGGACAAGTGGAAGATCCTCAGAGGGAGATCCAACCTGGAAATCAGGAGGAATTTCCTGACAGTGAGAACAATTAATCAGTGGAACAACTTGCCTCCAGAGGTTGTGAGAGGCTGAAACATACGCAGGAATTAGGTAAGTAATACATTCCCAGTTGCAATGTATGGCTGTGAAAATTGGACCATAAGAAAGGCTGAGTGCAAAAGAATTGAGGCCTTTGAACTATGATGCTGGAGAAGACTCCTGCGAGTCCCTTGGACTGCAAGGTGATCAAACCGGTCAGTCCTGGAGGAGATCAACCCTGACTGCTCTTTAGAAGGCCAGATCCTGAAGTTGAAACTCAAGTACTTTGGCCACCTAATGAGAAGGAAGGACTCACTGGAGAAGAGCCTAATGCTGGGAAAGATGGAGGGCAATAGAAGAAGGGGACGACAGAGAATGAGGTGGCTGGATGGAGTCACTGGAGCAGGAGGCGTGAGCTTAAATGGATTCCAGAAGATGGTAGAGGACAGGAAGGCCTGGAGGAACATTGTCCATGGGGTTGCGATGGGTCGGACACGACTTCACAACTAACAACAATGAAGAGAAGGACTAGGGGTGACATGATAGCAGTCTTCCAATATCTGAGGGGCTGCCACAAAGAAGAGGGGGGGTATCATTCTATTCTCCAAAGCACCTGAAGGCAGGACCAGAAGCAACGAATGGAAACTAATCAAGGAGAGAAACAACCTGGAACTAAGGAGGAATTGCATCCATTAGTTGTGGGTCTCCAACACTGGAGGTTGCTAATAAGAGACTGGACGGCCATTTGTCTGAAATGGTATGAGGATTCCTGCCTTAGGCAAGGGGGTTGGACTAGATGACCTTCAAGGTACCTTCCAGCCCCGTGATTCTAAAAGTCTGCCAGAACTCCAATTTCTTCTCCACCTAATTGACTTGGGGTTGCATTGCCTGTTGGCCTAATTACAGTTTTTTTAAAAAAAAAAAAAAATCAATAATATTTTAATGTTCGGTTTTCAGTAGCTAGTAACCCTACAGCTCAGAAAAGATTGGGATAGGGACCTCCACCCAACAAGGGAGACACAAGACGATCCGCAAATTAGCAATCATTGCACCCGCTCCTCCCGCAGCAGTTAATGTTCTGCTTCGGAGATTTCAGAGAAGGCTGCAGGGAGAAAGGAATATTAGCTGAACAGGATATGCTCCGAAGAGGCCGAGAGACAGACAGGAGATCAGATAGCTAAGAGAGGATGGATAATGACCGACCGAGTACATGTAAGGCTTATCTTTGGCTCTGTTCACTGTGGGTCTGATCCTTTGGCTTGTGAGAGACTGTGGGATAAAGGAAGACTAATAGGGGCACCCAAACGTCCCACAAACAAGGAGCTGTGACCCCTCCCAAAAAACCAAATCAATGAAGGAGAATATTTGTAGCTCAGAGCTGAAATGAGGGGTCCTTGGTGCTCTCTGAGCTTGCTTGTTTTCTTGCAGACATTTCATTACCCTAACTAGGTAACATCATCAGTCCACTAGCACTGATGACGTTACCTAGTTAGGTTAATGAAACGTCTAGAAGAAAACAAACAAGCTCAGAGAGCACCAAGGACCCCTCAAAAATACATACAAACAAACAAACCAGCCTGAAGCAACTCTCAGAATTGAGAAGCGAATGAGATTAGCAGGTAAATTGTCCCCTTATATCGTCTCTATCGTTCAGTGAATCTATCGTTAAGAGTGGTGAGAACGGAAAAAACGACAGTCTAAAATACCCAGAAACTATCCAAGATATGCAGACGACCCCACTTGGTAAGACAATTATAAAAAGGGGCCAGGAAGGCTCATTATGAACGTGAAAACTTAAAGTAAAATAAATAAATAAATGAAGTGATCACTAAAACAATTCCCCAAAAGACTGACTGATCCCTTCAAGTGGTGATCAGCGAGCACAAGATGACGTTCTAACACTGTGTGACATGAAGTGGTGATGGCCTAGATTAGAAAAACTCAGTTATGATGGACTAGGATTGTGCCCAGTGTAAGGTTGAGTGAAAAAGGGAAAGACACTGGAGAAAGGATGGACAGGTCAAGGTGATCAGGCAGCCGGAGGCTCAAACATACGAAGAACGGTTTCAGGAATTGGGTATGTCTAGTCTAGTGAAGGAGAAGGACTAGGGGTGACATGATAGCAGTTTTCCAGTATTTGAGGGGCTGCCACAAAGAAGAGGGAGTCAGCCTATCAACCAAAGCATCAAAAGGCAAGTTAAGAAACAATGGGTGGAAACTAATCAAGGAGAGAAGCAGCCGGGAACTAAGGAGAAACTTCCTCACGGTGAGGACAATTAACCAGTGGAACAACCTGCCTCCAGACATGGTGGGTGCTCCATCATTGGAGATCTTTAAGAAGAGATTGGACAGACTGGACAGCCACTTGCCTGAAATGGTATAGCGTCTCCTGTTTAAGCAGGGGGTTGGACTAGAAGACCTCCAAGGTCCCTTCCAACTCTGTGATTCTGTTATTCTATTGAAGAGATCCTTGGAGTCTTTTTTTGGAAGAGATGGACA